ACACACACACACAGACAGGCAGAAACACACACACAAACACACACACAGACAGACAGAAACAAACACACACACACACACAACACACACAGACAGACAGAAACACACACACACACACACACACACACAGATAGAGAGACAGAAACACACACACACACACACACACACACAGATAGAGAGACAGAAACACACACACACACACACACACACACAGATAGAGAGACAGAAACACACACACACACACACACACACACAGATAGAGAGACAGAAACACACACACACACACACACACACACAGATAGAGAGACAGAAACACACACACACACACACACACACACAGATAGAGAGACAGAAACACACACACACACACACACACACACAGATAGAGAGACAGAAACACACACACACACACACACACACACAGATAGAGAGACAGAAACACACACACACACACACACACACACAGATAGAGAGACAGAAACACACACACACACACACACACACACAGATAGAGAGACAGAAACACACACACACACACACACACACACAGATAGAGAGACAGAAACACACACACACACACACACACACACAGATAGAGAGACAGAAACACACACACACACACACACACACACAGATAGAGAGACAGAAACACACACACACACACACACACACACAGATAGAGAGACAGAAACACACACACACACACACACACACACAGATAGAGAGACAGAAACACACACACACACACACACACACACAGATAGAGAGACAGAAACACACACACACACACACACACACACAGATAGAGAGACAGAAACACACACACACACACACACACACACAGATAGAGAGACAGAAACACACACACACACACACACACACACAGATAGAGAGACAGAAACACACACACACACACACACACACACAGATAGAGAGACAGAAACACACACACACACACACACACACACAGATAGAGAGACAGAAACACACACACACACACACACACACACAGATAGAGAGACAGAAACACACACACACACACACACACACACAGATAGAGAGACAGAAACACACACACACACACACACACACACAGATAGAGAGACAGAAACACACACACACACACACACACACACAGATAGAGAGACAGAAACACACACACACACACACACACACACAGATAGAGAGACAGAAACACACACACACACACACACACACACAGATAGAGAGACAGAAACACACACACACACACACACACACACAGATAGAGAGACAGAAACACACACACACACACACACACACACAGATAGAGAGACAGAAACACACACACACACACACACACACACAGATAGAGAGACAGAAACACACACACACACACACACACACACAGATAGAGAGACAGAAACACACACACACACACACACACACACAGATAGAGAGACAGAAACACACACACACACACACACACACACAGATAGAGAGACAGAAACACACACACACACACACACACACACAGATAGAGAGACAGAAACACACACACACACACACACACACACAGATAGAGAGACAGAAACACACACACACACACACACACACACAGATAGAGAGACAGAAACACACACACACACACACACACACACAGATAGAGAGACAGAAACACACACACACACACACACACACACAGATAGAGAGACAGAAACACACACACACACACACACACACACAGATAGAGAGACAGAAACACACACACACACACACACACACACAGATAGAGAGACAGAAACACACACACACACACACACACACACAGATAGAGAGACAGAAACACACACACACACACACACACACACAGATAGAGAGACAGAAACACACACACACACACACACACACACAGATAGAGAGACAGAAACACACACACACACACACACACACACAGATAGAGAGACAGAAACACACACACACACACACACACACACAGATAGAGAGACAGAAACACACACACACACACACACACACACAGATAGAGAGACAGAAACACACACACACACACACACACACACAGATAGAGAGACAGAAACACACACACACACACACACACACACAGACAGAAACACACACACACACACACCTAAATTAAGCTGTCACTAAGTAGGGCCTTGTTGTTTACAAACTTAATGTCCCATAAATTACATTAAAAGAAACATGCTTTTTACTGTATTGTACACGTATTATTCATAGATCACGTCAGAATTACGACATTGAATGAAGGTCAAGACCACTGAGGTGGAACAGGCCAAAATCCCCATTTTAAGCAGAGAAACAGAGATCTGACATATTTTAAACGAGCAGCTTTCATGCTAGGTTAATTTTGTTCGATGATAAACAGTTTAGTTTATAAAGCACATACAAGTAATGCTTTAAAGGGATGTGACACCAAATGAATTATTGTGCCGCGTGCTTTAGGCTACTTAATGATCTGTTTAGCGGTATATATATAATGTAATCAAGTGTGTCAGTGTTATTAATGAAAATGATTAAGTGTGTGTGCTGATGCCCAAAGTACACATTTAAATATGTTGAAGGGGACTATATTTAAATCAGTTCTATGAGAAGCAAGCGTTTCGATGCTGGTAATAATATTTCATTGAGAGTGGAATAACGTGAGGGCTTGGTGAACCGGTTTTGACGCTGATTACGTGCCGTACCTTTCTGAACCGTGCAGTGAAATCAAATAGAGAACAAGGAGCTCTCTTGTTCCTCCAACGGTATATTCCACATTCCCGCAGTCTAGAGGAACAGGAAGTGAGACAGGTGTGAAAAATAATCGCTTTATCAGGAAACGTTGCGTATCCGCCTCTGGTTTCTCGTTGCTATTAACCTGGATGATGATAACAACACTTTGAGCATTAATTATGTAGTTAGGCGTGTCTTGCATATACGTTTTCACTTCTAAATGCAATCCCATCAATAGGCTTATGGATACACAAACATAAGTGCAATACTCTTCTTAGTCTTAGCCTCACATTCACTTATGTTTTATACAAAACCCCACGTAATGAGTGTCAACGTTATCAGCAGCATGAGATTATCATCAGATCAAAAACACTCACCGCGATCACAAAACTTATCATATTTACCAGATATTGTTCCTTTCACTTTAAAGGAGCAGTTCACCAGCAAATGGTGATTATTTTCACCCTCATGTAAATCAGACCAATATTATTTTCTTTATTTTTTTTTACCGTGAAACACTAAATCTTGGGCTCAGTGGTAATTTATGATTAAAGTTTTTGGTTATATTTTGAAACATTTTAATATTTTCTAGTTAGTGTCATTTTTATAATTTTTTTAAATGTCTGTATAGTTTTAGTTTTTAATTGTAGTTTCAAACTCATCTATCTATCT